TTGTCTGCGGAGTCGCAGAGTGGTTTTGTCTGCGGAGTCGCAGAGTGGTTTTGTCTGCGGAGTCGCAGAGTGGTTTTGTCTGCGGAGTCGCAGAGTGGTTTTGTCTACGGAGTCGCAGAGTGGTTTTGTCTGGGGAGTCGCAGAGTGGTTTTGTCTACGGAGTCGCAGAGTGGTTTTGTGCACGGAGTCGCAGAGTGGTTTTGTCTACGGAGTCGCAGAGTGGTTTTGTCTACGGAGTCGCAGAGTGGTTTTGTCTGAGGAGTCGCAGAGTGGTTTTGTCTACGGAGTCGCAGAGTGGTTTTGTTTGCGGAGTCGCAGAGAGGTTTTGTCTGAGCGCGCGCGGGGTCGCAGAGTGGTTTTGTCTGCGGAGTCGCAGAGTGGTTTTGTCTGCGTGGGCGGAGTCACAGAGCGGTTGTGTGGGCGGAGCCGCAGAGCGATTTTGTCTGCGGGGTCGCAGAGCGGTTTTGCGTTGGTTTGGTCAGAGTTATGGGTGGGGTCAAACAGTAATGGTATATTGCAAACAGAGTGGGTCCTTTATTTTTGAAACTGAAGTGATTACGGTAGAATGTTTTCGTTGCAGGACCGGTGAACTCGCTGCTCTCATGGCGTGCGTGGATCCCGCTGAGCCGGATCACGTTCTGTGCCTACTTGATCCACCCGATCCTGTTGCAGATCTACAATTTAAGTCGACCGCATCCATTCCACTTCACGACGGTCTATCAAATGGTTGGTTTCTGAGGTGTTTATTCGTTTGTGAGAAAAATGAAGAGAAAATTTGAAAAAAAAGAAATTTTCAGAAATTAATTAATTTTGCAGTAATTAAAAGTAAAAATTTGCAGTAATTTGCAGTAAGTAAAAGTTAAAAAAACAGAAATTAATTAGTTATTTTGCAGTTTTATCTGTTCGCTGTGGCTGTCACGATGGCGTATTTCGTTGGTTTCCTGCTGAGTCTGGCCGTCGAAGTGCCTATCTCCAACGTGGAGACGTTGGCTATCAACACGGTGACGGGCAAAATTGGCGGTCGCCCGAAATCGGCAGCACAATATCCGCCAATCTCCGAAAAACCCGGCAAGAACGACATAGTAGAAACGTGTGCAGACGATACGGATGCGCGGAATGGTGCTGCAGGATTGGAGAGGGTCGAATTGAAGTTGTTATTGAGTGATGCGAGTAGAAATGTTAATTGATTGATCGTGGATTGAGAATTAATTACTGATGTGTGTTTATTTGACTGCGAATGTGATAATAAATAATTAATTCATTATTGATTGATCTGCACATTTCAAATCAGATCAGAGCATTTTTAGTTATCTGCGCCACTCGTTGTAATGATAACATTGGCGCGCGTTTGAAATGGTTTTGTATCGTTTTGATCATTTTGATCGATCGATTTTGAGCAAATTTGATCATGTTGATCAAAAAAAAGCACTCTCCCGCCAAAATTTATAGTATATAAGTGTGGGTTGGTTGTTGGAATTTCATTCTTGTTAGTTTTGTGGATGGCGAGCGGTTGGTTGGTTAGTGGTGTGGGATGGCGATAGGTTCGTTGTGGTATTGTGGTCGGTGGTTGTGGTGCTTGTGGTCGATGTCGTGTTGTGATAGCACCACCTATTCGTTTATTCCTATTGGAGTGTAGTTATCGACGGTGGACGGTTGGTATGGATTGGTATTGTCATCGATGTGGGTAGACGCGAGATGACGGACGATGGCGTGTGGCCGGCCCACAAGAGGGCAAGTGAATGGCCCCGTGTAACCCGCAAGAGGGTAGGACGGGGTCGAGAAGAAAGAAGAGGCTCCCCCCTCACGAATAACCGAGGGGGTGCGGGCTTATTGCGACATGGAATGGAAGTGCATGCCCTTTGGATAGGGCTGAATGGAATGGTACAACAACGCAACCCCAGTTGAGGATAAATGGTGAGTAGAGCATTTGCATTCGACTATAATAATCGGATTTTATTTCAGGTGAGCTGGTGGAAGGCAGGAGGGGAGGATCGAGGCGCGGACGGAGGGAGGTCGTGGCGCATGGCTGGTCGATTTCAAAGGGGTGAGTATGATTATTATTTGAATTTATCTTTTGAGTATTTTATCGTTTATTCAATATTTATTATTCATATTGTCATTACTAAATATTTTGCTCATACATTTCAGGCGATGGCATGGTACGAGCCGATGTTCTTCAGCCCTACAAGAGGGCGAACCACCGTCGAAGAGGCCCGCAAGANGTGCGGGCTTATTACAACACGGATGGATGCAACTGCATGCCCTTTGGATAGGGCTGAAAATGGTGAGTAGCGTATTTTCACTTGACTATAATAATCGGATCTAATTTCAGGTGAATCTGGACGAGGCGGAGGAGGACGAGGCGGCGGCTACACGAAGATAATCCGGTTTGTATCTTCTATGAAATTATTCTGTGAAATCGACTAAAATAATAATAATGTTCACTCCAATTACAATTATTATTTAAATTTTCGGCATATAAGGCTTCTTAGGCTTCTGAAGGCTATTCCCTTTGGTATTTCTTCGCGATAAGTCTCGATGTTATATTCTCACTCTTGAATATTCAATAGTATTCTAGTGGTTGCTGAATATTGTTGCTGTCCTGAGGCTATGTTATTTTTTTTTGCATCGACTTCGTTCTCTATTTTGTTTGGTTGTCTCCAGCGAGCGCTTTGCTTTAGATTTGTTCATTTTTATTGAGTTTATTGAATAGTGTTTGCCTTAATCTCTACTTTTAGCATACTTTTAGCACACATCCGTGTGTCTTCCCAGATCAGATCAGATCAGAATTTGATTAATTTTTTCGTTTTTCATTTTTCATTTTTCGAAGAAATTCGCCATTTTCCACTTGCTGCTGCATAAGCTGCCGTCTGCCTTTTAGCAGTGTCGTTCCAATTGTTGAGCTGTTGCTGAGTCAGTCAGCATTAAGCGGATAGTTTAGAAATTTAAAACTGATAGTGAGTTGTCTATAAACTTTGAGTTTTCAAATTTCAAATTTCCTGCTTTCATATTTCATAAGACTTGAAGATTTTTGGAGATTTAGGAATTAGTTTGGAAACATTTTTTCGGCAGTTCAAATTTTAAACTTTGACTTTGAGGAGGATACACTTTTTTGGTCTTCTTATTCTTTTTGGAAAAATTAAACTGTTTATTTTTTAAAAAAATTCGAATTCATCGAGAGAATTTCCTTTCGTTTTT